TGAAATAATTTACATTCTATGCTATATACTGTTTGGTGATCCTCTGTGTAAGCTGCCGTACAATACTCTTCAAGTACACTGACAGAGACTTAAAATACACTTAAGCTGAAAAGCCATCTACAATCGGCATCAGTTATTTTGCTTCTCTGGACCTATGTTTATTTGAGAATATTGTGGTTTCTATTAACATATGGGGTTTAACCTGTGCAGAACATTCCCAGTGTTATGAAGACCTTACTCCCTTACTAGCTCGCACTTTACTTTCATGACCAGCTTGCAAGCATTTTGTGTCCATGAAGCACCTGATTTAAAGGCCCTCACCACTAAGGGGTTCTGTCCACAGATTGCAGAGGACAGCAGGTTTAGCCAGCAGAGGCCTAAAGCTTACCTCTACTCCTCAGGCAAAATCCTCGGCTATTCTCTCATTGGAAGAGTTACGTCAGGCAGCCTGAGGGGAACAAACACTGGCTAAAGGCTCAGGCCTTGATCCCACAAACCTTTATGCTTTTTCTTAACAATTACGTTAAGTTTCTGAAAATAAGCAGTCTCCTTGATGTGAGGGAGGCTATTCATATTGGTGAAGTTGAGCACCAGTGTAACTGCAGAATCAGAGAGGGCAGTATTTTGTCAGATCTGTGCTGTGCATTTTTTGATATCTACACATTCGTCACACGAGAAGTAGATTACCCTGAATATGCCTATATGTACAAGACTGATATTACCTCTGCAGACTGCTTTGATGTGCAGTCAAATGGTGTGCAAATCCACAGTAAGCATTTCTCCTCAATGCTTTCCATATCAAGTAATGCTGCTCACATCACAAATTTTGCAATTCTAGAAAAGATGACTCTGAAGACTTCACTTGGCCTGTTTAGCCTTTTTGAGAAATAAGCAACACAAAACTTTCCAAGTACCTCATCTTTCTTTCACTGATCCCCTCAAAGTTACCTTGGACTTAGGAAGAAGGAACTAATTGCTAAAGAAAGCTGGGTCACACACTATATTTCCATTGCATTTATAAAGCTTAATGAATCATAATAATAAAAGGTTAATCAATTGTTTTAAAATCCAAAATATCTGAATTTACTTTTGATAATCTACACCACCAACACCTTCTGAATGAGCTGCTTGTTAGCCACACGCTACAACTGATACCTACATCTGAAAAAATACTTGTAAAGTCTAGCAATAGTTTATTAACTCTTTATAAAGCACTTCAAATGGAACTTTAATATAAAGTGTGACTGAAACCCATTATGTATTACAGGCGCCCTGTTAAAACAGACCTTTGTATCAGAGTTCACAAACAAAGTAAGAAAATTGCATAATAGGTTTAAGCCTTTTTTAAATTAGAAAAATTGCCCATTCACACATTAAAAAAAAAAAAAAATCCAGCTTTCTCCAACTTAAATATCTCCTGGTGATTTTGGATCTGACCTGGGAAGGTGTAGCCTATCCAGGACTTAGTCTGTACTGTTGAAATCTGGACAGCAGTGATAATTGTTGAATCACTATCAAGGAGAGAGGGGGAAAAAGCACATACAGATACAAAAATATGCACATGTATTGCAGCCACTTGAGCTAAGAGAAGAAATGAATCGGGCCCTCCAAGCCCCAAACTGGTTTCTGTACAGCTCAAGCACAGAAAAGGACTTGCTGGCCTGCGGGCTACATACGCTTTCAATGTAAGGAAAAATAAACCAAAAGAGCAGTCAAAGGTTAGCCATTTAGAGCAACAGAAAAATACATTTGAAGATTCTTCTCTCTCACATCTAGCTAAGGAATGACACCATTCCTTCCAGTGCTGGTGAATGCAACTCATTAGCAGTTGGGAATTCTCTCTGAAAAAAATAGGTAGAAAATTTTCTCTTATAGCTAGCCTCTTAATGGGACAAACACTTCTTCAGGCGGCAGCACTGTTTATGTTTGGACTGTTTAATACCAACTATGGTACCGCCATTAGACAACTGCCACAAATAGCTCAGAAATAAAAAACAAAAAAAAATTCACTGTATTACTTATCCAGAGAAAAGGACAGCTGCTAGGAAAAGACAGGTCGATTTTAACTGGCAAATCGTGCTGTAGGCCTGCAACTTCTTTTCAATACCAAATTTTAAGGGACAAGATAACAGTGGGATAGTTGAAGAGAGTTTTAAAAGAAAACTGCAGTATCAAGCAAATTATTCAAAGATATACCAAGAAAAGGATTCTGAGGAAACAGGCACAAATAAAAAGTGTTCTGTCAGTATTTCATGTAACAGATATTTTAAAATGAGCAATCCAGTAGTGGTAAATATTTATGGAAACGTCTGAGTGACTTGAGGATGATAGCAAACACTGAAGTTTGGTATCCTATACAGACAAGCCTATTATTATTCAGAAGACCAATTCATTTTTCATAATAATCTAACATACAGGTACAATCTATTCAATGATTTAGAACAGAGTAATTTATCTAAATACTGACCAGCTGTAAACCTCTTTCTTTTGTGAGTAGTAGATCGTAAAAACATACTGTAGAAACAACTCCTTTGAAAAATGGGAAACAGCAAACTCTCATGGCAATTGCCTATTTTTACATATGTGATGTTGCTTTTTTTCTCATTCAGAAAGCATACAACTGATTTAAATACACGGGCTGGTATAGTTTGCTGCTAATGTAGTATTTCTTAAGCATGACTTTACACAGAAGCAATTCTCAGAGTATCAAATGCTACTGTTACTCTAATGCTCTAAGAATTCTTAAATATTTCTTTTTTTCATGACACATTAACCTGTCAGTTTTCTCAGCCTCAGCAACAAATACAATCAAGTACGATATTTGATTTGTTTTAATGTGATCTGGCTTGTTTCAGCATAATCTGCAATCACAGATTTCTTTGGCAATGAGAACTTGCATGTAATCACAAGAGTTAACCAAAAAGGGACACTGCCTACCAGTGTATGCAACCAGAGACATGGGGTTCAGAACATGCTTACCTCAAGGACAGAAGTCACATGGAGTTTTTTAACCTCTCATTATGCATACCGGTATTTCCCTTTTATGAAGGAATGCAAATTCGGTAACATTCAGTGTTTGCTCAGTATCCGGCAAGAAATACAAAGTACAGGTCTGGATTCACGGAAGAGCTAACATGGCAGACCACGACTTTTTACGAGTGGCTAATGGACTTATTTTAAAACTATTCTTTAAACCTCCCATTCAGCAGAAAACCTAAAGATATGGTCAGTGTTAAGTATGTGCTCAGTCCCACAAATTTCAGTGAGACATTAGCAAAAGCTTATATACTTTTCCTGAAAGCCTGTATACGTCAGCATAAGTTTGTGTATCTTGTTTTATGGACTACTTTAGGCTTGCTTTCAAGGCTAACTAGGATCAAATGTACACAAGCGAAAACGGTGCCATAAAAAATTGGGGTCAGCAGAAAAGTATCAGAAACAAAGACTCTTTGGCAAAGAATCTTTCTGGTGTGGGTCAGAAAAGTGCTATTTCATAATGAGTAAGGTGGAACTCAGGTTCTGCATCTTTAGGTGGCAGAGTAAGCAGTCTTGAAGGCAGTAGCTCACCTATTTGTGGAAAATGGGCTCTTTTGTAAAAAAAAAAAAAAAAAATGCAGGTAGATGGTAAATGAGCCATTGCTTACAAGCCTAACAACAGTAAAAGATCTATTCTTACTACATTATGCCAGTTGATGGTGGAGGGGCGCAAAACCGGCAAGTACTATATTCCAGAAAACTTCCTAATGTCATATATCTACTTTAACAGTATTTGCAGTGCCTGCTTTACAGAAATGTTTCTATGAGCAAAGTTTTACTTTCAAAAAGTATTGCAAATACTTATGTAAATATTTGGATAACAGACTTGTGCAAATCTGCGCTAGGAGTTGCCATTCATACTGGAGGTATTTCATAGCCACCTTGGAACCTCCTGGCAGGTACATAACTCACTCGAGGAGAAGGCTCAGAAGTAGTTATGTTTGCAATAACTATCACTCAATAATGTTGAGAAAGGAACAAATAAATAATAATTAAATTAATCCAACAGCTAAGGGAATCAACTGATATATTTGTTTCGACAAGCAGTTCATTCAGCTCTAAAATGATCCTAAGTTTCCAAGCTGGTCATCAAGTTTTCCAAATCTAATAGAATTTTTGTAGTTTAATTTTATTTTAACATTTCTCTCAATTTTAACAGCAATGAAAATACTACTGAAACTCAGGTGCCCAAAACCCATACTGTGGGGGATTTTTTTTTTTTGTTATGTGAAGTCTTGCAAGTCATAATGTATTTTTTATAAAACCTGTTTAAAAATTCAGTACAAATAAAAGTGGTTCAAATCTATTTTTTTTATGGAAATGTAGAAATAACTGGTAAGAACTTAAACTTAGGAAGAGCTACAGCCCTCATGAATTCAGACCTTTCACTCCCATTATCCCAGAGTCATTCAGTTTCAGACTAAAGTGAATACAAACATTAGTAGTAATGCAATATGCTGCCACGTTAAAAATGTGCAGTATGCAAATTCACTACCCTCCTGAAAAAAAAGGCTATGAAAAATTTAGGTTTTACTGAGGAAAAAAATACTCTTATAACAGCTATAGAATTTCAAATGTCTGCAAGGCAGATACTACCCCTGCTACAACACCACATCTCTGGTTTCATGACTTTCCCCTATCATTCTACTACCTGAGTGATGTCAGTGTAAATTCAGGCACCATTAGTAAATTTTTGACCAAACATATACACAGCACTGACAAAGGAGTGAACAACCCTTCAGCTTACCAGTATGTGTAAAAAAGACACTGACAAAATGGAAAATAATATTTTTTTATGATAAATTAATCCTATTATTTCCTCGTTGCCCCGGAAAAGCGAGAAGCTAGACACTATTTACTCATCAATCCTTTATTCTTTTTTTAAGGATTCCTTTTACTGCAATTCAACACTGTTTACTTTGTAAGTAAGAAAATGGTAAAACTAAGTAGTCACGGAAGAATCCTCAATGCCTGTGTCCCTTGCTTTCTCTCTCCCTGCGCTTTAACTCTTCTTTGTAGCAGTACGAACAGTAATTTTCAGTCTCAGGACGACCATAAAAGGAACAGTTCTCCTTCTTACAGCGGTTCTGCTGGATGGAATATATTGGGCAAACTGTGCTTCTGCCTTGATTTTTATCATTGTTCAACCAGGCCTGAGGAGCATCCTCATCAGCATATTCTAAGCAGTCTCTAATGTCGCCAGTATTGAATCCGTTTGTGTACGTCTGAGACTTGTGTTCAGTAGGCATGGCATAGCTCAGTGATTCCACCGTGTTCACTGTACGGATACCAGATATCCGGGCTGGGCTATAGCTTTGAGAAGACAGTGATCTGTTTTGTTGGGGATAGGTGGCACAGGTCTTTAAGGTGCCAACCACTGGCTTGTATGTATCGTCTTGGAAGCTCGATGGCTTGGAGTTGACATCATGCAAATGGATGACACTTTGCCTTTGAACAGGTGGCGTATGGCTATAGTGGGCAGATACCGGAATGGGTCCACTTTTCTTAGCACTGTTACTAGGCGAAGAAAATGACCCGGGAGTGGGACTAGTGTGATCTTTAAATTTTAAAACCAGTTGAGTTGTATGGCTTTGAGGCAAGACGGGTGATGCCCTATCCTGAGGAGATGTTTCTAATTTTTCTTTTGAATATGCTTCTGGCTCCAGTTTCCGACTAGATGACCCATTCAGCGCAGCCTTTTTCTCAGCATCCTTTCTCTTCTGTTCCTGTTCCGCATTGAAACGCTCCTGTGCACTGGTCAGGTAATAGCCTATCATCTCCTCATGGAACTGATGCCTATGACTGGTCAAAAGGAGGCCAGCAAAAATAAACTTTCGTTCACCCTGCATGGCAGCTCTCAAAATATTTAGGCTGAGTTTCACATCAGTGCTGTACTTCCATGGGTCAGACTGCTTGTCAGAGAAGGGTTTGGTGTTCGTCTTCTCAATGGGTGAGTTGCTAGCTCTGTCAGTCGGAGATGGAGTGGTCTTTTCAGATGGAGAAGTGCTCGCAGACTGTCCAGATTCCTCTTTACTCCCTTTTCGAGACTTAGACTTCTTCTCTTTGACTTTCTCGACTGTGTCACCATTTTTCCCATTCCCTGAATTGGCTCTGCTCATTTTGCCATGCACCAGGCCTCCAAGACCACCCATATTCTTTTTCAGTTTAATTCCCAGGGTTTTACTGAGGCTTCCGATTTTATTGGCAACTGAATCCGTCCTGGTTTTGTCTTTATCTTTCCTCTGTTTGTCCTTTTCTTTTTCTTTACTGTTTTTGCCATTATTGCCATTGGAATTACTACAGATGGAATCTCGGTCCGAGTCCATTGAGTCAGCCAGAGACTGAACGTCCTCCCCAGCTGAAGCTGTAGGGGATTCTGGTTGAGCCAAAGGGGCCTGCTATGGAAAAGTAATTATAATTAGATACAGCAAAATCAGTTTCACACGGACTTGGTGCAAAACGCCCCCCCCCCAATCCAATATAGATTTTGACATTGATTTTAAATGCACTGACATTTTAGACTGGTTTCTTCACCAAATAAAGCTTATTTGTCTGTGCTGACTATGCATCTCGCTTCTTCCTACTGTGGCTTTTGACTCATTTCAAGCACATTTGTAGAATAGAGGTCAGTCATTCAGAGGTTCTGTGAAAATCACTGTCTGAATAATGGAGAGATGCGAGTTAGTGCTCCTGTCGAGGGGAAGGCTACAGCACAACCTCCTTGCTTGTGCCGACCAGCTGAGTGGCTTGCCAGCATGGAGAGATGGGCCATTCCGTAGGAAGCATCTACAGCACAGGCTGCCTCTCAGCCAGGGAGGGACAGAGGGCATGGAAAGAAACTGATAATATTGCGATGGAAGGGAAGTGAGCTTCTGCTGAAAGCTGTGAAGGGGATGCAGCACACAAACCTGTATGTAGCGATATTTCAAAATTCATTGTGTTCAAAACCCAACTTATTTAAATTGATTTCTTCATTGTTCAGGTCTCCAGTGCATGAAAATCAAAGGTACAATGCACCAGAGCTAAACATCTTGCCTGAAATATTAAACGTAAGCAAGTAGACTGAGGAATACAATGAGGTATATTCATTCTTATTGGAAATACAATGCAGATAAAACTGGTGGCAGAAGTCTGAGTTCCAATTTATATTTTAGGTAAGGTGATAAAACTTCTTCCTTGAAAATGCAGTAACAAGGATGCTAGAATACTTTAAAATGTGGCTCTGTTAATTTACTCCCACAAAACTTAGTCCTGCTTTCAGGCACCATGAAGCTAAAATCTGCTAGAGATAAATATGACACATTTAACTTACCATAACGATTCAGAGGCAAAAAAACCCTCAAAAAACCTATGGAGATGTATATACTTCCAGTATAGAAATGCACTTCTGCTTCCTGTCCCTGGGTACTTACATGTCCTCTCTCTCTGGAATCCCTGAGCACCCCACCAGGCAGTTGGGAACAGAGCTGTTCTCCCCAATTGGCAAAGGGGGAAATAAGCACTCAAGTGACCTGACCATGCTCACATGGCAAGTGTGACGCAGGGAGAGGTAACCCAGGTCCCAGTGGTTTCAGGCTCACAGCTTGCAACCACAGGACCATTTTGCCTCTCCTTTTTCTGATGTGGTAGCTACCACTGTAGCAACTGGAGAAAAATGGATTTTTTTTCCCTCCTTGCAGCTTGTTAAAAGCTTTCTCCTTTTGTGTCCTGTTCCTCCTTTCAAATCCCATCTGTGTAGGCTGTCTAAATCACCTCCATCCTCTCCTAGCAACCTTTTGCCTCCAGTCTAACCCCTCAATCCATTCAATGTAATTTGCAGAGAAATTTGCAGCTGACTAGGAGCCAGCTGGGCATGGTTCTAAAATAGCTTTCTGAAAGAACCAGGCTCCAGTTCAGCACCAGTCTGTGGCCTTTTGTCAGCCACTCTAAACTGGAAGCTGTCCAGGGGTGCAAATTCATTCTCAGAAAGAGAAAGGACTGGGACTGGTGACCTAACAGGGGCATTAGGAGAGCAAGCCAAGATTCTGAGAAAACAATGGTGAGAAAAGGTCTGTCTTAAGGTTTTTCTGAACTACATGTACTAGTGAAATAAGTAACAGAAAGATTAAGCTAGAAAATGCATTTCAGAACAGAGCAGGAGTTGCAAAAATACACAAGCAACTGTGTTATTAAAACAAATAACTAGAAAAATCTGTAAGCCTGATTGCAGTGACAAATGAGCCATAAGTGACTTGTCCCCGTGGCTAGGACACTTAGGGTAGGCTGCCCGGACTGGCTAGCCTACCCTACACAACACCCTGCGATGCCTCGTATCTCTTGTGTTGTTTAGACTGAGAAGGAAGTTTACCTTACCCGTGTCTCAGATGGTATGCGTACCCACGTTACATTCATATAGCTGTGCAGAAGGTTAAGCTTTGCCTCAAGAGACAGAATCAAACTAAGGATGAAAAAAGAAGGAAACAAACAGTCAAAAAGCCTGGAAAAAAAAAGCAATGTTTCTTAACAGGGAGAGATGTAACAGCAGCCTCAATTGTGACCATCAGCTGGAGACCCACCCATGTCTTCTCCCACAAAACCAGAGAACATGGACAAAGCCCTCTCTGTTAGCAGTTTTCCCAATGCTTCAATCAGGTATGGCTCAAGACATGTTACTGCTTAACATTAAAGTTACAGGAAGGTCTTACTTGGCCAGTCTGGTGTTATCATTGTCATCTTTTCCCCACTCCCAGTCTTTCCCAGGATCGACCGCAAAGTGCAAAGGCAGCAACTTGTGTTCAGAGTCCGTCAGGGGGATCACCGCTGAAGTAGAGAAGAAACAAGGATTGGAGTCGAGGGAACAAAACCAACCAAAATATGATTTAGCTGTGAAAAGCAGTGTAACTGGTTCAAGAAGGGCAGAGTTTGAGCATGCTGCAGAATTGTCTCATCCAGAGCACCCCAAATGATTTATACCAGGCTCCATTTCCCTATTTTGACATTTGTGCAATAGAAGAGGAGAGGGAGAGGTTAATACCCTGATTGCTCCTGGAGTGAAAGATAGTCACCTGTGGAGGAGGGGAGAGCTCTGGGAGACTACCACTGCCATTCTGTAATGCACAACAAACATTTCCTGGAGACAGAGCCATTAGAATAGCAGAAAGCAATAAAGAGTTGAAATATTCCTGCCTGTCTCTCACACAGATGCACATACTTGTTAATTATTTTTGTCTTTTCAGTTTAGTACCTTTTTGTTTTGCATTATCAAAAAACCAAAAATATATTGAGAACAGCATTAAAAAACAAAGCAAAATGCAGTTACAGTGATTTTGGACTCAAACTGTGAATTAACATAATTGAGGCGCATAACCCAAAATAGATGTGGGTTAAGCAGTCAGTTTGAGGGCTGTCTTGCGTGCAATGAAAACTCACTGCTGGGACATCTCAGCGTTACTGTCTAGCTGGTTTGGCTCTTGTTCCCCTCCCTGTTAGGGCTCTGCCTTCTGACATATCTTAATGACTCTGCTTTATACTCAGCATGCAGGGACTGCGCTCTGATTTTACAGAGTGTCTATCATTCATCACCAGCAAGAAACTAAGAGAAAAACGCTGTCAGCATTAATTAAAGCCAGCAATTTGCTTCCATTTCATTACAAAAAAAAAAAAAAAAAA